GTAAGCACCTAATTTGCTACTTGAGTACCTTGGCTTGGCATAAAGTAGGTATAAAGGATAGACAGGATGTTTCTGTGGTGCGCGGCTCCGTCGAGAAAATGAGGAGAGGAGGATTTGTCATCGCCTGCGAGGCGAGACCGGAAATACGATTTGTACGTGCGATCTATCAAAACAAACCTTCGTCTCTTGGCACCGTAGCGGCGGCGGCAGCGGCAGTGGTGGCAGCGGTCGCTCTATTCGAGGCGATTCGATGAGCTAACGCCAACTTAACGCTACACACCCCACTGAGCCGCACTCGGTCAGATAACTCGTGGATTTTCGAGCACTCTGCAGACTCTCCAATCGCTTCCTCACTTGTGGATTCCGCCACCGCGGTGTTTAATTCGCACCGAGAATCTTCGCGGAATTTTTCACGCAGAGGGAATCCGAATCGTCGAATCGTTACACGAATTCTTCGAAAGGGGAAACAATTTTTAGATTTTCACAGTCACACGGCATGTAATAACTAATATATAATCCTCTTTATATACTTTTATACATAATAAAATAATAATTACATAATTCCATTGTCAAAGCTTTATTTTAGCTGTTTTACCGTCGGAAATATAAAACACTCTCTATAGAGAATTCAATCTCAACAAACTAATATAAAAAATCCTGTATATACAGTACTAGACAAAATAAAGTACGCACTCCAAACATTCTCACATTTATGTAAATAACTCGCCAGTCCTGGCAGATAGCATAATGATGAATGAGGTAAAAGGAAGGTATTTTAGTCTACTTTGCAATAATGATTACAAAAATTTCAAAAACAATTCGAAATCCTTTAATAGTCAAGTCCGTTACATTTATTATCAAATTTATCATGGACAAAATAAAGTACGCACAACATTATTTATGAAAATAATAACAACTGGCGCTGTTGATGATGAAAGAAACATGAACATAACAATTAAGGATATATAAACAAATGAATAAAGTAGGTTTGTCAATTAATAATATTGCTAGATAGAGTATAGTAAGAATTCTTCATCAGTGAACATGGAAACCAAGCAAATTTGTTTGCAAATTCGAAAACTGATAATTCAGGA